CGTACAAGAAATGTACCTTATATACATGTATCGGCAATGAAAGCTGCCCAGCAAGTTCTCCGTCTGACGCCACAAGGGGACTTTCTGTATGCAAATGAGAAGCTAATGAGAAGCCTCATTTTAAATTACAGAAACATAAAGTTGCCCTAGACAGAGTATACACAAGCTAACATGCCACGCCAAGTGGTATTCTCTGTACGAATTCCTCGTGGATACCACATTATATGCGATATGTGTATATAAACCGGTCGTTTATTCCATTATGAGCGCGAACTTTCGACGTGGGTTTCGTGAGCTGACTTGCTGTTCATCGCACAACTCAGGGAAAAGCAGGATTGAGTCCAACGATGACGAGTCAACTTTGGACACCAATAAATATGGTTCAACAGTGATGGCAGCGAAAGCAGTGTACAACACGATGTAGGGGACAGAGTGTAATCTCAGTTGGATTCTAGAATTGAATTCAAAATGGCGGATAAATAAATGTCATCAGAACGTGTTTTACTGTGTGTTGGGGGGACTCACGTACTGAGTTGGTATAACGTATAGTTTGGGTGCGATGCAGTGACATCAGTTTTTGGCATCTGATTTCAAACCTTGTTTCAGTAGCATACTTACCTGCAACCTCTTTTGGATGTACATGTGCGAGCGAGCAGTTGTTTCATATTACCCAATACTTGAGGACCGGCACTTCACATAACCAAAATAGACAGCACTCGGAGAAAAGGTGAACTTATATCAGAATTATTCAACATAAATATTGTAGCATCTTGTAGCATTGATTTTTAATATTCCTTAAAGTGCCTGTGAAATTCCCACCCACACGTTTCCCATCTTAGATCTGTGTCCCACTGAAATGGGCAGTTATTGATTTTGTTGTTGAAAATAATTGCTTGTTTCCAAGAAAATTTTAGATATTTCTAGTGCTGTAGCCATGCCCACCTATCCTGAAACGGTCGACTGTTTCCGGATCTCGCAGAAGTTAAAATGCCCTAGACTGAGTTTGAGACGCATTTTTTCACTTTAAAAATATATATATATATATACCCGATATATACAAAAGCGATTGCATACTCAGCAAAAGATGTGTACGCACTCCTACCTGTCATACTCTGTTATATGCAATTATAACTCTGGTTCCCCAATAACTCTGGGTAGGGTTGGAATGTGTGTACATCGATAATATCGCGGATAAAGACTCATTAGTAAAATAAAACACTAGTTCATACTAGTGTTTAGAAACAATGACTGTCTATTCAATATTGTGATGAAAAGTGTTATATATTGATTAAGGCCATCTCAAAGGTCAATAGTAAAAAGAAATGTTACTTTCGGTGTAACTTAATGCGCGTCTGCCATACTGTTATATATTCTTTGCATCCGTCCCAATAAAAGCTACCTTACGGTCTTGGGCTTTGAAGTACAGGAAGTTGTAAAACCATGCATGCTCCTACGCATCAATCAGTGAATTTAATCAATAAATGCAATTAACATGTTTAATGTCCATCGGCATAGACAACTCAAGCAAGCAATCATATATTGCTATATTTTCTATCGGAAGTACTGTTTTTGATGTCATTATTTGTATTCATTAGCAGTGTTTCTCGTTCCAATTGCCTCTAATTAGCTCTATGTTAACAAAAGTGTACAAAGGCAGAATATTCCTCAAGACCATTGTGACGTGTAAGTTAAACGTTATTGGCAATTCAACTTTCAATAACTTCTGTCGGTTTAAATCCATTACTGCATTTATTTACATTGGAATACATTCAAACTGATTGAAGACTAGATTATTGTTTTTTTTTTATTTTCCTGGTATGTTTAGTTAAAACGTGAAAAGAGAAGCGGCAATTTGATTTAGAATTCCGAAATAAAATCGCATTTAGGCTATTTAAAAAAAAATATAGTCTACTTGCAAAATATTACAAACCAGAGGCCCGGTGTTTATTAGTTAGTACACAATATGGGTTACTGGTGGAGGATGGTGGGATACATAAATAAATATCGGTGTAAACTTAAAAACATTTGATATACTTGCAACAATGGTTTTTCACGAGAGGGAATATAATCCTATATTGCATCACGTGTATGTCGACCTGAAATAAAAGTCCATTCCAAACCAATTCAAAGCAATTGACAATAACCTCTCCTTATATTAAATAACTATTATAACTGATTTTAATATCTGACGTTATTTATGAGGTGTACTTATGTGCACATTAGGACTATTTGGCTCACCATGACATTTTGTAACAGTGAACGACGTTGCTGAATTGCGTGGTCTCTTCTTTTTTGTTACAGACAATGTATTGATGACAGCGTATTGGTGACAGCGTTGGTGGCAGTAAATAAACACATGCGAAGTGTATTTTATAATATTTTCGAGCGCGTAGTGAAAAATATCAATACCAATACAATGTTCGAACCTAGCGAATGTTAAATATTCTTATAGAGAATAGAGTAAATATGAAGGTGCAATGTTAAATTCACGAGTAAGTCTGAATAATTGTGCATATAATTATAATATCCATAGGAAATGAAATTGTCCGCGAATGTTGACATAAAACGCTCTATAGCGAACGAGACATTATCTACTGCTGAATTGATGACATCGCGGGTTTCAAACTCAAACCACTTGAATAATAAAAAGTTAACTGTACATGGCGCAGGATTTGCTCATTCTACTCGAATCATCTGACATCACTTCATGTATTCCACGGGGTCCATACAGTTTGCATTTTCTGATTTGAGTAAATGTGTATTTGTCACTTATTTGTTTTGTCAAAATTATTTTGATTGCAGATTTATATATATTTGGCTATGTTATTCCAACTTTATCACTACAGCAAATAAAAATCGCACAAATAAACTGTGATCGATGGCAATGTGGAAATCTTATGCTGTAACATCATATTAACAACATTTCTTTAAATCTTATCCTGCCAGCCCTATATACGTTTACATTGAATCGATTTGATAAGGATTAAAATTTAAGATTGTAAATTCAAATCACGTTTTCAAATTAGAAAGCAGTAATTGCCTTTGCAAAAAAACATTGTTCTCATCAAGTTGATATATAAATACGGACATTTTATTGGATTCAGTCTGAAAGAAAAGCCTCATCAAGGAAACGTTTGCCATAATAGCTAATAGCTGTAAGTGTTGCAGACAATAAAGGTTGGCAGTTATGTAGTTTTAGTGAAATCAATAACTGCAATGAATAGCATACTTTTGTGTTGTGATACAAAGATTTACGTTTATGTTATTAAATTAAGTCGCATAATTGAAATATAATGAGAGTCGACGGTCTTTGAATACTAGTAAACTATAATTATCTTTTCATTTGACAAGCAACTCCGCTGCCTCTGATGAATAGTTGTTCCATGCAGAGAGACCTTCCATCATCAAACTCTCATTTGCTTTTGATCATTGTTTACTTGGCCCTCCCATATTTGCTTAATGGCCATCTTCTGATACCTGACTGTTTTCTCGTCACACGCTGATGTGGTTTCCAACTAGTTGATGAGCTTAATTTTCAATACTTAACTGCCATGACAACTGCATATAATCCCTTATAAATTGTTGTTGAATTCGTCTTCAAACAACACGGATATC